TCATGTTGTGATCTAAAGAAACTCCAGAACAATTGAGAAACAATGTAATTGATATCTATCAATCTTTAAAGGGTTACAGAGCCATTTCTAAGGCTTTTAGACTCCAGTGAACCACAATGAGACCCATTATCCACAAATGGAGAAAACTTGGAACAGTGCCAAAAGTACTTGAGAGAAACCATCGATGACTCATCCACGAGATCACAAAAGGAGTGTTTATGATTCAACAATAAGAAAATGATTTGTGCCCCTGCACCCTTAATCTCAAACAAAACAAAACTACATCAGCACGTAAACCAAAACTCTGAATGGCTCAGAAAACAAAATGAAGGTTTTGGGGTGGTCTACATGAACTCTCAGTTTAAATCCACGACCTTAAACAGGCCATTCACACTTGAAAATCCTCCAATGCATTAAAGCATTAAAACAATCCTCCAACGAAGAATGTGCCAAAATTCCACTGTGATGTGAAAGACTCATTTCCAGTTACCGCAGATGTGTGATTGCAGTTCTTGCTCCAAGGCAGGGCACAACCTTAATTAGGTTCAGGGGGCAATTGCTTTTCACACAAGGCCATGTACTATAGACATGGAGAGCTTTTTTCAGTTAATAAATGCATCATTATTAAAAAACTGCATTTTGTATTTAATCAGGTTATCTTTGTCTAATGGTAAAATTCTTTTTATCTGACCATAGCTTGTAACAACCCTTTTGGGTTATAGCACCACTAGGGGGAGTTGCCCTACTATTGTAATAGCTGTGAGAGTCTCCTAGTGGGTGTGTATTGTTCGTGGCAGCCATTCCATGCTGCTCGTGTTCCATTCTAAAAGAAACACCGTACTGTTGTAACAAGCTGGCGCCGGCGATACCAATCTCAGCGCATGTATGACGGGCGAGTACAGCCGTGGAGACCTGGCTCATAATGTAATGTTGCTGACAGCGAATAAAGGTCTGTTATTGGATTTAACCGACTGGCTTCGGGTTATTTGGCTAACCACCACACGTGCGCTGGTCCTGCTAGCTGCTCCTTCCTCGCCAGACTGCTGTTACAAGCTGTGAAGGGTTTAGGTTTCTCCACATCTCTACACGGGAGTCTTGTATATAAAACCAACTTCCCTGTTTGCTGTCAGTAGCTGGTATGAAGAGGTGGTTCTCTTTCTTAGGTTGTCGATAACAGTCGAGTCCAAATGCCATCTGACAATATAACAAAGAGCTTCTTTTCATGTCAGGAATGTTTAGCTTCCTCAGTCTACAAATGGCCGTACATATTCAATGACTGAGATCAGATGACTATGTAGGCAGGTCAACAGTCCTTGGGTTTCTTTAGTCTTCAGGTATTACTTCAGAGTTTTGTCCTGCTGCTATGAGAATCTTTTTCCACAAAGATGAAACCAGAAGATAATTATAATTATATAATTCTACAGACAATTGGTCTGCTTCTCTTTCTGTGCAGCTCAAAAGTAGTGGCATGAACTCTTGCCAGGTCCTTTTTGCATGGGTTTGTATGGTAAATCCTGCTGCTCTGGCTTCATCACACATTAAAGCAAACACGTTTGTTAAGTTAAATTTTAATTCTCAATTGGCCACTCGTTTGACGTATATTAAATGATTAATGTGTATAGAATGAAATGCTCTATTAAAATATGATTATGCGTTATCAGTGATAAAGTTGGAAAGTGAGTAAGTTCAATATATTAGTCTTCTGATGGTGTGGTTTTGGTCTACCTGATCTTGCTCTGAATACAGTTGACCTCAGCTGTGAAATTGTTGATGCCCCTTTAAAGTGAAGTCAAGTCAAGTGGCTTTATTGTCACTCCAACTATGTGCAGTACAGTACTCAGTGAAATGAGATAACGTTCTTCCAAGACCATTGTGCTACATATAAGGTATAACGTACAGAATATACAGAATATACAGACAATCAACACAGGACTACATAAAGTCCAAGTGTAGAAAAATTGCCAAAAAAAACCCCCAAAAGACACACAGACACAACAGTGTAAAGGTAGACTGCAACAATAACAGTGGGTTGTGCAAAAGACTGAGCATTGTTGCAAAAAGTCACTTGATGTATGAAGTGTGTGTGTGTGTGTGTGTGTGTGTGTGTGTGCGCAGCCCCAAAGGTCAAACGTACACGTGGAGTTACAGGAAGACGCAAGTGGTCGTGCAGCACTCACTGATTTGTCAGGGTGGAGTCACTTTACTGCAAACACAGTTACACAGGTCACAGTTTACACTGAGGGAGGTGTGTGTGTGTGTGTGTGTGTGTGCCTGTTTAGATGTCGTTGTGAGGACTGAAAACTGTAATGTTGCGTTACTTGTGGGGACCAACGTTCACTTATGAGGACAAAAGTGCCCGGCATTTTTGAAACTCAATGTGGTTTTA